TTTGGCGGAATGACCACTCTGCCGGCAAGATATTCACAATCGGCTCACGGTTTCTGTGGTTAGCAGTGCCACTGGTTCGGCCCGTGCCGCCGTGCAGCGGTTAGCTTCCTTGAGGTACATAACTCATGGAATTTTGGCATTTACAACAGTGCAAAGCACTTCTAACTGGAAAAAAAACTGCAAATGACTTTTCAAGCTACCTGTTACATATCTGGAGAATTAAAGGTCCCAGAATTAAAGGCCGAGCCTTAAAATGGGGACTTTTTGTGAATTATTAGTCCTGGTTTTCTCCAAGACTGCATATGTAAACTTAGAGTAATGTTTAAAGTAACGCATTGCTTTGAATGCAGTGGTAATCAGCTGAGGCTGCAGTGAGGATTAACTTGATGGCTTCTGTGCGCGTCTTGGGGTTGGTGCCAGTAGCTGCTTGTGTGTAGGAATATGGAGCAGTTCGTCTCCGTGGAGCCCAGAGGTACAGTGCAAGCGGCTTTGTCATCGACTTCCCGCCCACGGCGCTCTTCCCTCCCACGAGAGCCATCAGCCCGGCAGGCCTCCTTCGAAAGGCAGCTTTGGTCAGAGATGTTTTGTTTGGTGTCACGCTAGTCAGCTAAAAGCACGACGCTCCTGCTGCTCTCTCTCCTTCAGGCTCAGCTCTTTCTGAGATGTCTGATTTATGATTATTTGACATGACAAGGGGGAGGAACTAACGTTAGCGCCAATACGTTTGTGTCTCTGTGAGGTTACAGCACAGATTACGGAGCTTTGTGATGTCACAATGCTGCTCAGTCACATTGAGAGCCAATGTACAGTTTTGTCATATTTTAAACACCTCCAGTTGAATTCCAGTAGGGCATAAATGCATTAACATTTGGATTTTGGTACTCAGCCACCTACAGGTGTCCAGTATTGGTATACCTGCCTCCAATTGGACGTTGGCAGGGAATGGTTTGATCCAAATGACCTTAGAAAAGGTAGACAGGCCAGTCCAGCTGGAAATATCCTGCCTGTCCAATCAGCAATCAGATCATTACTGCCAATCAGCATCTCTGTATCCGGCCAAGGCACCAGCCCACCATGCCTTCAAGGTTAAATCATCGTAAAAAACTAGTTTCTATTTATAGGAATCTGTCATGTTTGCCAGTGTGATGTAACACGTTAATGCATGCGTGCTTTTGCTTTGTTTGTCTTCTGTCTCCTTTCCTCCAGAGCTGGGTAATCTAGAGTGACCAGATTCAAAAGTTACAGTCTAAGCAGAAATCATTTGTGCCCCGACTGTAGTGCATAAGCGCCAACAGGGGGCAGTGTTGCACTCAGCATCTTCCAGCATGTCAAGTGGTTAGTGCTTGTGTCACTTTTTGCCTAATACAGTATCTCATGATCTCTTCTCAGAAGTGTCTGTTTTCTGAAGCAGGTGATAGGTATTGTTAAATGTGCTGGGAAAATGTGCTCTTTTTCCCAATCAATTTAGTTACATTGCCGCAGTTAATGTTGACATAACATCTTAAACAGTCAGAAATATAGACAAAGCAGCTCTGACGATGACACTGTTATTTCCCCCAAAATAAATCCAGCCCAGGAAAGTGAAGAGAGGCTTTATTAAGATGTTTCCTCAGTTACTGAATACTTATTCCCTGCACAAATTTGCCCAACATTGCCTTGCTGGACAAACACACCTTGACAAGCTGAGTCAGCACTGACCGTGGACTGACTGGTGGGTTATCTCTCAGTGGTCCTTTAAGACCCTGTTTGAGCAGGGAAGCAAGACACTTTTCACATGGAATCTCGTTCTGCAAATCATTTAAACTATGTAAACATTCTGGATCTAAAGACCACCTGAATGTGAGTGTGTGCTTGTTCTTTTAATGGTATGAGGATGTTTTCGTGGGAACAATTTAAAATTCCTGTTGTATTGCGGGGGGGGGGGGGATTATGAAACATACATACCATTCAAATGAGAGTTATTGTGAAATCACATAGCAACAGGTAGAGTAGTACGGTGTTTCCCAATCCGGTCCTTGGGGACCCACAGACAGTCCATGTTTTATCTCCCTCCCAGCTCCCGAATATGTGGACTGTCTGGTAGGGAGCTGGGAGGGAGCAAAAACATGGACCAGTGATCTTCACTGCGTGGCCCGTGACTGAGTAAAAAATAAGCAAATTATCCTGACCATCCTCATTTTTTTATTATTATTATTATTTTTATGTTTTTCAAATTATTTTTTTAATCTAGACACAGTACAACTTCCCCAGTAATGTCCAGCTATGTAGTTAACAAACAATCAAGTGGCTAGCCAGCTTTTAAAAAGTAAATGGTGGCCCCCAGCCCACCCGCCACACTGGTAAGCGTGGCCCTCGGCTGAATTTCAGTGAAGAACACTGGCATAGACGACTGTGGGCCCCCCCCTGGGAAACACTGGAGTAGTGTGTAACTCTACAAGGGTGCGTGTGAGTGTGCATGCATGCTTTATCCACCCTGTTAGTGATGGGCTGCTCGCTCCACGGGCCCCTCGTTCATCACCCTCCCCCGTCCCCGTGCACCGCCTCATCCACAAAATCTGGGCCCAAAGAGTGCCCCTCAGAGCTGAAGTGGCCCCCTCCCTTTCACGGAGCACGGAGCGAGTTGCCGATTTACTGAGAGCGAGGCTCCCGCTGCTGTTAGCCGGCGCTGATTAGCACACCAAGCACAACGCCACTGTGAAAAACAGGAAGTGCCGATGCAGAGCCTTGGGTTGGACAAGGCCTGGCATGAGCGCACTCAAACGCAGCCAAGGGACACATACTGACAGGCATTTTACTCACTGGCTCCCCCCGCCCAGCATGGAGTTCATTACAGGGCCACCTGTGCGCTCGTTCTGCACTACAGCCACAAAGAACTCCCTCTGAGGCATCACACTGCCTTTAGTTTACATGTGTTTACCTTCCCGAGGACCCTGGGGCTGCCCTTTTGAATGCCTGCCTTCCCAAAAGCTCTATTTGGTTATTGTGTAAATTCGGGCCAAAAGCACCAAGCAATAGACACTGTGCATGTTTTAAAACAAGCTGCCTTGTCCTTTTATGGGGGCAAAGGTTCGGTTTTTAAATTCTGCGCCCACTTCACACTAAAACACCTGCAGCAGCAGCAGCAGAGAGTCTGTTAGGAAAACAGATTTTACACAACATTCGTAGGAAGATGGCGTAATGTGAACTTAATCTGCTACGCACGTTAGCATTTTAATTACCAAGCACTCGTCACTGGCATTTTGTTAATAGGCCGGTGGTTTGGTTAATCTTGACATTCCTCACAGCGTCGATTTCCACGGCCAAAATGGATCTGCTCATTCAAGCGTCACTGAACATTGAGGAGGATTCTTAAGGGTCGCAGGAATTCATGGACACGAACGATTTGACAGCCAGTGAACTGGAACAAGAACCCGAGAAAATGTCCGGTTCAAAGCTCAGGTAGGAGGTTCGTGACTTTTAGGCAGATAGACCAGTACAAATGCAGGCTGGCACAATGGGAACTTGAAAATTAACCAATTATATAGGAGAATGATAATGAGATGGCCTTGTGTGTGAGGTGTCTTTGAGGGTCTGTTTGTTGTCGAATTCTAGTACCTTCAGTAATGATTTGAACCACAATCTATTTGTACAACATCACGCCTCACTGACCATCGAAACAAAAATACTCAACAGTCAAACATGCAGGCAAGAGATCATCCACACCCAGCGGAGTTGGGCAGGGATATTGGAGTCCAAAATTCCTGGGTGGAAATGAGCTGCAGGAGACATGTTCACTAGCTGGATCATGGTGGCCAATGTCATCATTGTCCTTCAGGGACCCCGAGATGCCTGTCTCCCTTGTTCTTCAGGGATTCGGTGACAGACACTCTGCTTTGCTACAAGCAGTAAGATGTGGTCACCGGACACAGTAACCGGCTGCCTTTCTGGCTCAGAGCTGGCGGCTGTGATCTCCCAGCCTCGTGATTGACACAGTACTTACACCTTACCTAACAAGAAACTATGATCACAGGGGAAAAAAAACAAAACAATCATACTCAAATAAGATTCTGGGCCTCCTGGTGCTTCAGAAAGCAATGATCATTAAAAAAATAACCTTCTTTATGAATGTTTACATCAAAGATTATCAATTGTTCATGGCTGTCACTTTTTGTAAATTATTCTCATATGCTTTGTTGGCCTGAATTTCTTCTCTTTGTGTTTCCCCTGTATTTTATCCAAACATTCTCCATTACAAATCATCCAGTACAGAGTCATAATGAGAGGGGCACTGGCCCCAGCTGAAAGCTGATTGGCACCCGGAGTGTCCCCTCCGCTATCAATCACTGAGTCAAAGCATATCATTGGTTAAATACATGGTTGGCTCCTCAGTATGAATTATAGTCCCTCTTGTGACTCTTTCCCTATAAAGTCCGATAATTGGCCCAACACAATGGTCCTGGAGTCAGTGGTGTCATGGAGCATGAGGCAGTGGACAGTTTGGACATGAAAACACGCATAATCCACACAACCCAGGAGACAGAGGCCACAGCGGAACCTGTTCAGCCATTGTAGCAGCTCAAACTATATTATAACTGGGGCCAAAACCAATGGTCATTTGAACCCACTGAACGGTACTGTAACATGATTAAAACACGGCTAAGCAAATTATAAAGCAAAACTCAGGAGGGGAGTTTTCAGACAGCCCCTTAGCTTTATCCACGTCAAGATTAACCGGTTTTATCCAGAAACATAAAAGCCTGCAAAGCATGTCGTTCCCACTTAAGCTGTTCACAGCATCAAACTCCAGCCCGTGATGATCTGTTTCCTTCTGTTGATCTTTTAATAAGGGATCAGAAATCACCCCAAAGGAGCGGCACGAAATCTGCAGAGAAACGAAATTTCCGAACACAATCAAGAAATTCATTAACACCGCCTCAAGCATTCCGGAGGTTTTAAGCGCAATATGCAGATATTCGTTATTTCTGCTAGAATAAAAGAGAACTGACTCAAGTTACAAGTGTCAAGTTTCAACTTTTGTTTATCTTGTGTCACAGTTGCACGGGTCCTTGAGGGGATAAGTGAAACATCAGTGGAAGGCAGGACAAGACAACGCAATATAAGAATAAATACATTGTAATTAATAATACGTAAGTAGTGTCATATGAGGATGAGGTAGGTATGGCATATACCACCTGGCAAATTGACAACTATAAAGTGTTGAACAAGTACAGGAAGTACATTGAACAATAAAATATTGTGTAATGCAGGGTGGACAGGTACCTTGTGACTTGTAGCGCAAACAATAATAGTGGGGAATGTGGAGCTTTGCAGGGGGAGGTGGCATCGGGTTTGATTCGCGTTGGATGTGCCACATTGTAAGCGGGACGTCAACAGCGCCGCGCACCGGCAGGCACGTTACCCTGCCGGTCCCAGCTGCCGCTCACCTGTTTCACTGCCTGTGACTGACTTTCACTGATGTCGGTAAAAACATTTAGAAAAAGTTGCGAATTACGAGGCACTGTTGCATAACCCTGCTAGCAGGCACGCCCACACGATATACAACCAGCTAAATATACACTTAACAAGTTATATTTTTTTTGTAGCAAACTTCCCCACCCCTCCGCCGAGCCGATTGAACTCTGCTCCTCAACAGGCGCTCAAGCGCGGACTGTACCATTTTCCCGGTGGGCGGGGGGGGGACGCCGCTCACACAAGTCACCAAGTCCCGCCTCAGCACGGAGCGATTAAAAAATGTGAGGATATAAAATGTAGGACCAGGACAGGTAACCGTATCGCACGGGAGCCTGGTCGCAAAGCATCGGCTGTTCTGGGCTGGCTTGTCAGGTGTGCGTCCTGCTGTCATTCGAAGCGCCGATCCGGACTGTCCAGGCGTTCAGAACCACGTCGGTGCCGGGCGGGAGCTCAGTGCAGCCATGGCTGGGGACGGGGCGGAGCAGCGCGCTCTACAGTACGAGCAGACTTTGGTAAGTGCGCCGAGGCTCCGACGCCCAGCGTGCCGAGACTGGGAGTCCTGGTGCCCGAAGTGTGTGGGACTGTATGTCGGCACCTAGATCCCTTCCGTTCGGAACCGAATCGGCGGCGTATGTCCGGACGATCGCTCTCTGCACTGCACTGCGTGCAACGGGGCGTGAGGTCCGACGTGCGGCACTTTCATTCTCCATTTAAAACTTTGGACGCAGGAGGAGGAAAGCGCAATGGCGCTGAGCAGACAGGACCACCCGAGGCGGCGTGGTTCATAGCGCCCGAACCGGACCGAGCCGAGCCGAGCCGGAGAATCTCGCTCCGGCCGCGCGGACGTGGGATCGGAGCGGCCGCCCCCATTCTCCCTTATGAAGGGCACTGTTGCTCTTTACCTGCGCCCTAATGAGCCGCTTTCTCCCGCTATTCTCCGGAATAGTAACTTCATTTTTGTACAGATATGAATGTGGAGATATTGACTCCAGAGGCGCAACAAGTTTCCCCCTCTTTATTCGGATCTTCTTAGAGACAAAAATGATGACTTTCTACGTGGGGTGACTTTTTTACGACTATATATGTAAAAAAAACAAACAAAACAAAACATTTTAACAGTGTTACAGTGTTAAAACCCTACATGCGGTTTCAATAATAATAAAAACTGAGCTCCCATTGTTACTTTTGCTCCTTGTTAATAATAGAAAAAAAACCTCTATTAGGAAATAATAGCTACCCAAAACCCAAAAAATTAAAAAGGCAGAAATACAGTGTTATGCATAAGCGATGGGATCCGTGAAGTGTAGGTCTACATCCTTTCCGGAAGCTGTCATATAAAATATAAAGATCCTGCTTAATAATAGCTATAGTTGTAAGAATAGCTTCTTGATGTTTGTGAGAGGGCTTTTTGAGTCCAAATCTAACTTTGATTGCTTTGTAGTCCCAGCTTTTGCACATCCTGGCTGTCTTTTGCAGCATCAGCTGCGCAATAGAGTAAGCTGAATTAAGCAAAAGTAACCAGTATCTCCAGGTTCTAGTCCGGTGGAGGGACCTTCCCTGTGTCTGTTTGGGTCAGGCTTTCGTGCTGCTCAGGGCTCTGTTTACATCTGCTTATTGGCTGTTGTGGTTAGACCTTGCCATCACCTTGTTGAATCATACACCTTGGGAGTCATATGATCCTCTCTGCCAGTCTTTCAGCCGTATCATTCATCTGTTACAGTTTGGTTGGAGGCGGTCTGCCTGCCTTTCACTCTCCCTTAACTTCATCCTTCTTCATCATCATGGATGCAGGTTCTGCTGCTGAGCAACAGCGAGCCCTTGATGGAAGCAGAATGTTCCGGAAGAGACTGTTTGGGATTTATATCATGTCTGAAGTAGCAAAATGCCTTGCTTCACTCTGTTTACCATACTGGGAGACGGAGCGCTGTTATCTAGGTACACTGAGCCCACACCTGTGTCACACCCATATCACACCCATGACCCGCCCACTTGGTCCTCATTGGACAGTGAAGGAGTCACCTCCAAGTTCAGCAGTAACATGTCAGGTTTCCTTCCTTCCTGGTCTTGTGAGTGTTTCCTGCTGCAGAGGTTGACACTCCTGCCCCATAACATTATGGGCTGCTAACTTAGCGACCCTTCAGGCCTGCAGTATGAGCACGTGCCTGACCATGTCCTCAGAGAGACCACAGACTTGCTCTTTAAGATCATCTCTGGGGACACTGGAAGCACCTGAAGAAATTAGAGACTGGATCTACACACCCTAAGTCAACTTTGCCGCAGGCTAAAGGTTTTAGGTTCCTAATCTTCTTGGTATAGAAGCTCTTTCAGGCCAGGACTGTGACACTGCCAGGACCAGTCTGCTTGTTAGGTGCCCGGAGGTCTGTGTTCAGTGCCCTGACCTGACACCCTCTGAGGTTCAGCTCTGACTCAACACGCTGTCCTCAGGCTGTCATGTTTCTACAGGCTTCCGGGTGCCGTCAAGCCCGCCGAAGGCTTTCCGCTTTGACGGTGATCTTGCTGCGAGTCTTGTTTTCGACTTTCCTAGGTGTTTAGGGTGTTTAACGTGTCGTCATTACTGTTCTTTGCTGTTTTGCAACTACGGATAAGTGCTTGTTTTGACATCTCTGTGAAGGGACAGTGGGAGGACCACATGATCTTGTGTCATTGTTCTGGAAAGTGGGTACAAGAAGACCTCGCGGTTTCACAAAAGCCCCTCCCACCAGGTTTTTGTAAGTGTCTGGACATGTGGGTGTGAGCAAGCCCTTGGGGGCGTCTCATGGTGACAATTTAAGAATTGAGACGACTAGAGTCAGCTCTGGTTTCCCTTTGATGGCCATCAAAGCAGAGATGGAATATCATATCTGGATGATTGACTCCTTTGAGATGTTAGGATGTGCTGCAGTACATCCAGATTCTTTGAACTTCTCAGATTATCATTAAGTGACTACAGTAGATAGTTCCTTCTGTCACATTTCACTCTTAAACAGGGTGGTGATTTCATGGCTGTCTGTGATGAAACAAAGGCTGTTGGATACCAACGACATTCAGGTCGCCAAATGTGAAACTGAGAATCTCAAAGCGTTTGATTCACCTTGAATAGTATGCATGGATGTGCATGGATGTGTGTGTCTGTGTGTGTGTGTGTGTGTGTGTGTGTGTGTGTGTGCGTGCGCGTTCCTCTTGTGTAAGGAAATTCACGTGCTTAGTCAATTAAAACTTATCAGTAACACACAGTTGTCCCTGAGCATTGATATGGATACCGGTCATGTCCGAAAGCGGCTGTTTTGTGCGGGCAGCTGTCAGAGATCTGATAAGTGCTGCTGAACGCCTGAACTGGCTCGTGGCGGATAACGCAAGGCAGGAGCGTCCATTAGCCTGTTCTCAAGCATCTCAAGCATATCTCAGCTGCTTAAAAGCCTCGCCGAAGCTCTTGCACAATCAGTTTGACTTTCTGATTTAATAGGTGAGGTGCTGACTAATGAGTAACGGCACAGAGTGTCCAGAATAGCGGGGAGGGGGGGCTGGGCGACTGAGGACCTTTGCCCTGGGATAGGCTAGGCTAGGTCCATTGACCAGTAGTGCAGGTACTGTGGAGTGTAAGTTTGCCCCCTGCTGGTGAGCATCCCTTTATAGCTCCAGTGCTCTCTGGATCTCAGAGTTGGGGTATTCGGATAAGAGCTGTGACTTTTTAGTAAATAGTTTGGGGAGGTAATTATAATGATGCAGAGCTGTGCACTGACCGAGGACTGGGCCGAGGACTGGGCCGAGTAGCACACCGACCAAACCGCTGCGGTCCACAGAGGGATGTGCTGTGTCTCTCTGAGAATCGGTGTCAGATACAGAAGGCTGGTGGGGGTGGGTGGGGTGGAGGGGGTGCAGGGACACTGTACTCTCTGAGGGGTCACAATCCCCCCTCTGTGTCCATCGAAGCTACACTCAGACCAATATGAGCCAGCATGAGGACGTTCTGTGTGCAACTGGGAAGATCGTACAGTGGCCTGAAATTTTTCCTCTATGGGGAGTTTCTGCAGATAAACAGCAGGGGGCGTGTTTACATGGGGGGTGCGAACCATAGCATGTGATGGCTACTCCGCTCTTGCAGCTGGACTGATAACTCAGTCAGTACTCATTAATCGTAATTGAGTTGAACGGTTCAATCTTCCTGTTTCGTCCCACTCTGTACTTGGTACTGGACCTGATCATGTGACTGTTTCATACTCAAGCCCCCCCACTCTCATTTTCCCTCTTAAGAGATTTCCAGGCAGCAGTGGCGGTGGTGAAGGATAGATTCCTTTGATAGTATCCCACCTGGAGTGTCCGTAGTAGTTTCCCTGACAACGGGAGCTTTGAAAGCTAATCATAATTCTGGCTGAGTTTGTCTGTGGCTTTTGGAGGGAAGGAGTAGATGTCGATTTCTTTAGCCTCGCGTGAAACGTCAGTCACGTGCTCCTGCAGAAACCTTCAGGCAAGGGAGGCTGCTGATTTCAGCGTCTGGGTGATGCGACGTCCTCAGGATGTGTGGTGCCGGGGGGGCGCCTGCCAAACCACTGCGCTGGCCCCCCTCCAGAACTGGCCCATAAATCAGTGGGTTGCTCCAGAACCCCCTAAGAAGAACCGGGACCCCCCTGAATGGGACCCGTGTGGGGCTTCGAGCCCCCTTGGTTACCAGTGAATGTGTTGGGTTGCTCTGTGAGTCCATTGTGGCCCGTATCCCAGCGGCCCGTACTGTACTCCCGGCCCGGCACTGCAGCCAATAGCAGCTCGTGGGAAAACTCTGTCGGGCCGCCCCTGCTGTCTATGTTGATGATGATGATGATGATGATGATGATGATGACAGAGAATGGGCCGTTACACAGGAACGCTTCACATTGATGTGGGTCCCTGTAGACTGCTCCTAGACTCGTGTACAGCTGAAGGTGGGAGAGTAAACACCTTTATTGACGTTTGAAGCTGTAGGTTAAGCTGCCTCACTTGACGAAGCTGTTCTGTGCCCAGTCACCGGCTTCTAGTTGGACTCTTTCCTGTTGAGCATGGAAATGAAGACCCCTGCACCACACTTGCCCCCCCACCCCAGTGCCCTTTGCCCCCCCGCTCTGGCTAGGGTTAACCTTTTAATTGTATGAATTTGGACCTAACACTCAGGCAGGGGTGGTGACCGACTCTGTGCGGACGCAGGCATTAGACCATAAACTTACCGGAAGAATGGGGGCTCTGTGCTGCTCTTGGCTGCCTCAACACCACCCCCCTCCCCCCAACCTTCAAATTCAGTCCAGTTCAGAAGTCCATTGTTAATACATGTGGTGTTTGCTTTCAGTTTTCTCCGTAGAATTAGTACGCTGACTAAAAGTATGGATTTGAGGAAGATTGGGGTTGATTCGGTTGATTAGCCGCTTGCTGGAAGCTCAATAGCGTCGTGGCTACATCAGGATTTTAGCTTCCCCAGACTCGGGGTCCTTGAGTGACTGAGTTAGATCCGTCACCCAGTGGAGGCTGAAGTTAACAGTCATGAAATAGACGCGTAAAAATGAACCTTTGGTCTTTCTTGGGTTGGTTGAATTGTTGGTCATTAATGGCTCTATATACGGTTTTTCTAGGAATCTGTGTGTCTTATGAAGTGGCTTCCGGCACATTTGAAGGACAAAGTACTCCATACTTTCTAATATAAACAGCAGCCCCAGCCCTAACCTCAGCCGCAGCACCCAGAGGCCTACCAAAGTCCACCCTGATAAGCTGCCACTTGTTAGGTGGGCTTCCCGGACCACAGCTGAGACACATCCTGAAGGGGCAGTTGACCGCTACCCACAGAGAAGTGCTGTGGCTATAACTGACTTAGAGGAGGTGTAGAGGAAGCTTTCCTCAGCGGACAAGCTGAGTAAACCACAAGGCGTTGTCTTGACTTCCTGAGCACCGCAGCCTGGGGTATTGGTAAGAAGGGCTGTGAGATCTCATTACCTCTAGATGAGGGTTACTTTGTGCTGGCTCTTGGCTCCAGTCTCAAGGGCCCTGGTTCTGTTGTGGCTTAAAGCCATGTTTGGGTGTTGGACAGTGCATCTCCAAAGATGAACTCTGTGGCCTCTGAGTTGTGCAACCTGCCTGTTGCTGTTCCCACACTGAGGGGTGTAAGGTCACGGTCATGTGACCACCCGAGCATGCAGCTGGTCACCCTTGACCCTCTGGGTGGTTCTGTTGTCAGCTTGTTTGGTGACTGAGCCCGGTTTGGTCTACCCTGTGCTGGCTTATTGCCTTGGTGCTTGCACCTGTATTGCTCGCTATGGTTCCTCTGCTCTGCGACTGTTTCTGATTGGCTCATTTGTACCATGTGACGTTCCATGTGACATTAAGAGGGCCCTCAGTGGCTGTGCACCTGTGCCGTCAGCTTAGCCACTTGCGTAATCAGCTGAGTGCAAACTAAGGTGGCTTGATTCCATTGGCTGCGTGATGAAAGGCTCGGTCAGCTGCAGACCCCTGTGGTCGGAAAGGCATGACCCCCGGCCCCCGGCTCCCCGTTGGGGGCCGGCTGAAACGTTAACCTGTGCAAACAGCCCCAGCTCCAGGGGTCTTGTGAGCCGTGGTCTGACTGAGCTAGTGGAGGATTTGCTGCCGCTGCTAATTGTATGAATCGAACTCAAGACTAAGAGACTGTCATAAGGAGAAATGTTGCTTCTGTGGTCACATGGTACCTGCATGTCAGTCTGGGGTCAGCTGACCCGCTGATCACCAATCACATGATTAGCCCACTGCCCATGAAAAGGGTGACTGCAACGCTGCTCTCATCGCGGTGAGGAAGTATTTGTTCTGCTTTTGTGGTTACATACAGAGATGAGCTGTCACACACCAAGCCCCGCCCCCATGCAGCGGGTCACACACCAAGCCCCGCCCCCATCAGCGGGTCACACACCCAGCACGCCCCGGGATCTGTCCTCGTGTCTATGCCCCGCCCACTCACTTCCCATCCAGAGATCTTGCTCTGGACTGCCACCGTACTACCTGGGACGCGATCCCGCGACCTCGTGGCTGCCGCCTTCGCCCTTGCTCTGCATTCCCAGGACACTGTGAATCATCCCCCCTCACAAGAGGCCTTTGTGTGCCCCACGTCCCCTTACAGTGTGACATAACGGCCCTTTCACAGGAGGAGGCTGTAGGTGACGGGGGGCAGGAATCGCTGTGTGGGGCTGCCTGAGCTCAGATTCACTTACTGGCACTGAACCGGCATTGTCTCCACGTGTGTGTGTGTGTGTGTGTGTGTCTCCCCCTTACTGTCCTGTTTATCATTCCCGTATAAGACATTGCTGGACTTTGGTCTCTCACATCAGCCTTGGGAGGGAGAATCATTAATTATGAGTGATTTTAATTCTGAGAAGCACACCAGCTTTCATCAATGTTTTTGTGTGTGTGTGATCCAGGTAACCTTACGTTATGAGGACCAGGATAAAAATCTATTATCTTGACGTTGTGGGGACCATTTTTCTGGTTCCCATAAGCATAACTTCAATTTTATAAAAATAATAATAATAAAAATGCCAAAAGACTTGTGTTTTGTTTGGTTACTTATGGTTAAGGTTAGGGCTGGGAAGGGTTTAAGGTTGTCATTGTTGGGATTAGGGTTTTGCCCATAGAAATGAATGGAGAGTCCCCACAAAGGTGTGTGTGTGTGTGTGTGTGTGTGTGTGCGCGCTGTAGCAGGGAGCACTAAGGTACCTTTGGGAATCCCCGTGGAGCAATGGTGTTGTCTGGGAAGCCCTCCGCATCTCTATGTCCTGGTGCCTTCACCCCTGACTAGCTCTCCCTGCCCCACTGCTCTCGTGTGGTGTTGGGGGGGGGGGGCGGGGCTGTGGGGTCACTATCATTCTGTAAGCGGCTCCCTGCCGCCGGCTGATTTGGGATCAGCTGGTCTGCTCTGCTCTCGTGGGGTTTGTGAAGTGACACGGACTGTTTCTGTCCTCTGAAGCGAGCTTAAAGAACACACATCCTGCATGCCTCTTTCCCTCCACCACATCTGTGTTCCTTTCCTCTTCATTCCCTTCTGCATCCTCCTTTTCCTCTGTGTCCCCCCACCTTGGACAGGCTCAAGCCCTCTTGCCAGCCTGTACTCGCATGCCTGCAGTTCCGTGCCTTCTGGTCCATGACGGCAAACCACAGCAATGGTGATATAATCCTGGGGTAATGAGGTGTACCTGAGAGGGTGTGGGGGTGGGGGGGGCTCTTAATTATGCCTTACTTGCTGCCCCTGACCACAGGGCTGCTCTGCAAATGTGCACCTCTCTTCTCTGGGGGCTGTGTGGTTATGATGCCAGGCCTGCCTTGGGCAGTGGGCGGGGCCTATGCAGCAGAACGTGTGGGCGGGGCCTATGCAGCAGAACGTGTGGGCGGGGCCTGGGGTGTGGGATTAGGGTGGGGCGGGGTGAAGTGAAATGTAGACCAGTCAGGATTAGGGGAGAGGCCAGGTGAGAGGAGTAGTAGAAGGTGTGAACAAGGGGGGAGAGGAGTAAGGAGAGGGGGTAGAGTAGAGATAGAGAGGGGATACAAGGGGCCCTAGTTAGGTTGTCATAGTTAGTGTTAGCATTTTTCCCATTGAAATGAATGAGCGGTCCCCATAAGGATATGTTTACCCTACATGTGCGCGCGCGTGTGTGTGTGTGTGTGCGCGCATGCGCTGCACGTGTTTGTGTGTCTGTGTATTCGTGGTCCTGCCTCACACACAGTCCCGCTTTGTGTCTCTGAATTCTTGCCTGCATCCCACATCCTCCACTGGCTGCGCACACACACACACACACACACACACACACACACTCACTCACACACACACACACACACACACACACACACTCACAGACACACAGACACACACACTCACACACAGACAC